TCCACCATCAAGTGTAGTATCAACACCTGAACGAGAAAGAATAAATGATAATAATGAAGATATTTTACTAACAACATCATCAGTTCCATCATCTATTACTGATCGTTTACGTCAAGTTGAAATTGAATTAGCAGAAAAAAAATTAGCTCTTACAGAAGCATTATGTAAAAATCAAGAACTTGCACATCAACTTCGACATTCATCAGTAAATGATTCAGACACAAATTCAGTTAATAGTTTTCGTGCTATTACTACTAATAATAATGCAACTGTTAGATGGTTATCAAAAACGGTGAATTCAATAAAAGAAGCAGCTAGTTCAACAAATCGAACAAAAATTAATTAAAAAATATATTTACATTCTATGCCATATTCGTATATATTTCTATATTTTTTTTAATTTTGATCTTGTAAATATTTAATTATTGCTGTTTCTTTCTTTTTCTTTTTTTTTGTGTGCAATATATAAATACACATGTATCTTTATGTTCGTATATTATTTTTTTTTTCTTTGATTTTTTTTTTTAAGATAATAATGTTAACTTATCCATTTGATTTTCATTTTACATCTGCTATTGTTAGTCGTGTATCAGCAAGTTTAAAAGATGCTGCCATATGTCAACGTGAAATACGAGAAGTTATTAATACTGAAAAAGCACGACGACAACATCAAGATTATATTGCAGTATTAAGGTAAATTAACAAATAGATTGGATAGTATTTTCTATATATAAGAGTTCTTATGAAGATAATGATTATGTTCTATAAAAGAAGATTTACATTATATGAATTCAGAAGAAACTTAATTGAGATACGAACAAACTTTTTGAATCACAGATGGTATAGATGAAGATTGAGTCTAATGAACTATGACTTAGTTCAAATTCGGTTACAATATATTATATTGAAAGGATCTGATAGAAAAATGACCAATTTTTCCGTACTCTGGAACTGTTGTAAAAATAAAGTACTGCAACAGTATACAAGTACTTCGGTATTGGTTTATTAAGATTGTATCCTTTTTTTTTTGAATAAAATTTTTTATAAACATCAGAACCCCTGGTGATTTCCTTCAGAAAGAACAGACAATCGAGTTTTAAAAAAAGTTTCATATTTCAACAATATTTTTCAATAAAAATCAATTGCATCTAAGATATATTTATTGCATCGTAGTCTTATCGTAATTCAAACAAATGTACATACTGCTTATATCTTACTAATCAAAATATGTATGATGCTCTTAAAGAATTCATATTTTTTTAATCGTTCTTTTATAACCGTCTAGTTAAAATAACATAAGCTTTCGTATAAAAACTAGGGTTAATAGAAAAGTAATCATCCATAATAAATTTGATTGACTATCGATATAATGCATTCAAGCTTGCGTTCACAGTGGTAGTCCTTTGCTCAGTTCATAGAACTCCATGAACAACAGAACGCACTAGTAAATCAAAGTTATTATGAATGATTGCTTTTCTATTATCCCTAGTTTTCATACGAAAGCTTATGTTATTTTAATTCGACGGTTATAAAAGAACAATTAAACAAATCTGAATTTTTTAAGAATATTATACATATTTTGATTAGTTCTAACTTTTAATGTATTTTCCAAGTCTGAAATTGATTCGTTTCAATCTTTAGTATATGTTCTATAGAACAGTTTTTTTTTACTTCTTATATACGTGAATCCGTTGCTATTCTTCAATGTTAAATAATTGTTGTAATAATAACAAAAATAGTGCAACAAATTATATGTATATATTTTGAAGTAAATTTATTTGAATTAATTCATTTAGAAAACTTGGTTTGGATGTAATTGAATTACCTGCTGATGAATCATTACCTGAAGGAGTTTTTGTTGAAGATACAGCTGTTGTTTGTGATGGTACTGCACTTATATGTAGACCTGGTTTACCTGGACGACTGAAAGAAGTAATATTTATAAATAGATTTTTAAAAATGAAACTTTTAATTTTAGGTTGATATTATTCGAACAATACTTAGACGAGAAGGTCTTTGTATAGTCGATATTAAAGATCCATTAGCAACTATTGATGGAGGCGATGTTCTTTTTACTGGTACTTCTTTTTAAAAATTTCTATTAAATATAAATTTCTATTAACTATTTAGGTCGTGAGTTTTTTGTTGGTTTATCAAAGACTACAAATTTAGCTGGAGCTAAAGCAGTTGCATCGGCATTTCCTGAATATCCAGTAACCTTACTTCGAGTATTGTTATAATATATTCATTCAAAGTTACTTATATTTTTATACAAATTTTAATTAGGTAAAGAAAGGTGCACATTTGAAAAATTTTGTTTCAATGGTAGGAGTGGATACAATGGCTATTGGTGGATCCGATATAGCTAAAGATCTTCTTCGAGTACGAATATTTTATTTTTATTTAAACAATAAAAACAAAAGAAAAGTATTTAAATTATTTATTTATCTTTAGCAAATGGAAGAAATGAGTGAATATAAATTATATAAAACAATAACATTGCGTGATGATGCTGCAGCTAATTGCTTATGGATTAATGAAACTATTCTTCATTTACCTGCTGATCATCGATATGAAGAAAGTATTCGAGTAATTATTTTATTTTAATTTTATTCTTATGTAATAATATAATTATTTTATTAGACTTTAACAAGTCGACTTGGTTCAACAGTATCACATAGTGAATTATTGAATAGTGAATTTGCCAAAATTGATTGTGTTCTTTCAAGTCGATGTCTTCTTTTCAATCGATCAAAAGAACATACCAATAATGATCGATAAAAATATTTGATATAAGTCATTTTATATGATAATATAAATTCTAGTCATTTTAAATTATTATTTTGTCAGTTAGTCACATTCCAGTCATTCATTTTTATGTTCTCTACAACGAGCCTTATACTTTTTAATAAATAAATAATTATATATTTTCATTGATATTAAATCTTTTATTAACAAAATAATTTTTTACTTATTTAAACATTGTATCAAAGTTCATATTTTCAAGAATAATGTGATATTCATAAACAGTCTCATATTTACGATCAAATCTTCCATTATAGATTTGCTTGATGACAATGATTGAAAAATGAAATTATTGATATGATAAAATGTATAACGATAGAAAAAAATATCACGGATATTGTTATGTTCAATAAGTATATCTGCCATTCACTACTCATATTTTCGCAAAAAAACATTGACTTTTAAACAATTTAGATTATTTATTATGACTAAACTTGATTAATCATTAACTAACAAACAAACAAAAAGGTTTTTATTGCTTCGTCAGTAGTGAAGAGTATCGTTCTTGTTGAAGACATTGATTTGATCGAGCTAATTTCAAAAAGATCTGCATGCATAATTCATACAAGTGTATTTACAGTATCTTGTTAGACCATTTCAAAGCTCATTCGTAATTTTTCATTCGAGAAACTTAGAATTTATATGCTGCAAAATGACATTGATATTCAATCGTCCTTCTGGAAAACATATTTGTTGCTCAATAAAATCTCACTCAAATGTTTTACAAAGTAATTCAAGAATTTCATAATGACTTTAATAGTAGCTAAACAAATAAGCGTTTGGCAAACTCTCAAAGAAACTTTACTATTTATTCAGTTAGCATTCTGTATGTAAGCTCAAGAAGTTAGATAGCCTTGACTGAATCACCCAAATCAAGATAAATCAATGCTAGACGATTGTCTATTAATTCGGGCGCCTAACTACCAAGCTTTGACACATATTTCATTGGAGATTTTTTGAAGTTTAATAGCTTAATATAATTCTATTCAAATACAATATAAATCAGCAAAATTGAAAGTCATATCGAACTCTCCTATACATGCATAAACATTACCAATAGCTCATAGTAAGTCAACAATCTATGAATGATCACCGAGCAAAAATCATCTCAATGCGTCAAGAGATTGTTTTAGTTCGTTATATACGACTAATGTCACATAGAGAATCAGCAATAAGATGATGAGCGAACTTGAAGGTTATCTGTACGATACTCAATAATTTTTCATAAAATTTAAGAGTATCATTAAATCGACCAATGAAAACATAAATATGAACAAGATTAATTTTAACTCGTAAATAGACAGAATTTTCAAATGATGGCTTTGCTCTATTATACAAATCCATTCCTTATAAAATAATTTTGAGAAATTTTTGATACACTTATTCATAGAAGAAAAGCTGGTGCATGCCTTGTCTGATTGGATATTTATACCTTCATATTCCGATGATGAAAACACCAAATATATCGTTTCTTCAATACTATGGCATACTAAATGGCCATATTCAATAAGGTCTTCATGACATTCGTCTGCGGCTTCAAGGCAAACACATTAACAGTTGTTGTCAGTATCTTTATACACATTTATTATTTTGAATATGACTTACAGACTGATTAGTCATATTTTAATTTTATCTTGCATAAAACTCACTTAATGAATGTTAAGCAACATTATCGATCTAAGGCTAGTGTCAACATCACTTTGAACAAGTACACTCAATTCATCAGAACGTTTTTAACCTTCTCCAGTATAGATGACAGTTAATTATTCATTATCAAAAATTACGACCCAAGAAATATTATCAGAAGCTATCCACTTTTTATTCATTTTATCATCATCATAGCTGAATATGTTATAACCAAAATAATTCTTTATTAGTATGTTTCTCTGGTATTTTGAAACTGAGTTGTAATGATTATTTACTAAATGTTTGAGAGGCGACCTTTTAGTTAACTGATAAAATCAATAGATTTCAAATTGGAACTGTAGTCTTCAGTGAAATATAATATCCATTAGAATGTTTGAAACTTTGACTAAAAACATAACTTCTTTCTTAAGAATCTAAATTTTAAAATTTTCGTTAAAACATTCAATCATGAAGAACTTTTATTTCGTTTGAAACAAAATACAAAAGATGAGTGTTAAATATAATGTATAATATATTTTGTGTATTGTTATTTGGGTTTTTGAACGTTTTCAAGCTCCACATGGTTGTTTACCTGTACAACCATATCCAGCTTGTCCATCACATGCATAAACAACAAAGGATGATACTGCATATTGCCATTCATATCCACCACCGGTTGCCGTAACTGCGTATGAACAACAACCATAATCACCAAATGTCATGTCAACTTGTTTTGGTTCTTGCCAATTTTCTCGATCGAAAACAATCGGATTGAATTGAGCACATCGTGTGCCATTATAATACGATGATGGTTGTAGTTTAAATTCAACTTTGACACGGTCACCAAGTGAATGAACTGGTGGTGTTTGTAATTTTAGTGTAAAATGATCTTGACCATTTGGAGTTACCACAAATCCTTGCATAGGTTCGACGCTAAAACCTAAAAGCGACCAAAATATAACGATAGAAGAATGATGCTAGACAAGGAACCGGAAATGTTTGTTTACCGGCATTTGCATTTCCACAATAAGAAGACCATTGATCAGGTAAATCGAACAAATGTTCAGATTCTGATGGAATACCATGTGTAAATGACAGATAAACTGTACTTTGATATCTGTGTACATTCAGACAGTTATTTATTCTGTCATTAAATGAATGTAGTATATACTTACTCATCACTATCGTAACCACCAAGCGCAGCACGTGCTCGAATAGTTTTAACTGGTCTATCTTGTGCTTCGAAGTAACTTAAACATGGAACTTGTCCAATACCAGATCGTTTTAAATTACAAATTTCTGGTGAATCATATCTCTAAAATAACAAAAATCATTTTATTGCATACTATTTACATGCAGTTAACTATGGATAAATTAATACTTGCAAATATGTTAACGAGTTTTAATACAGACTATCATGTTCGATTTTAAACAAGAGAAATAACTGGCTTAGTTTTAGTTTTGTCGCAACAAGAACGAAACTTACTGTATTTTCTTTTAAGTGAAATATCTTTCAACTCTTGAAAAAACTAAGTTCAAAAAAATTCTAATGAAATTCAGAAGAGTACCCATAAATAAGACACTTTTCTATGGCAACATATATCTTAGAATTACTCCGGTTTCTTGGAATTTCCTTCCAGGTAGCAACATCTATCAGAAAGACTTTAGCTATAACGAAGATCAATTTACTACAACTATTACATCCAAAATGAGCGAAAAAAAGATAGATTCTGAAGAGAAAAATAAACACATTTGGAACTCATGGAATTAATGGCTTGAACTCAAACCAGAATGTTACTCTTACAGATTTGTTCAATTCTAATAATAATAGAAATACATACTATTGCGTTCATTTGAACTTCTGGGATCCATTCTTCACCTTTATTGATAAGATTTGATGGAAGCGGAAACCATGATTGAATTTCAAAATGACGTTCCTCTTGATAGAACCATGAATATGGAAATGGACCTAGATCGCTCAGTGGATCTGTTCTGTACCAACAATCATTCTGCAAGAAAAAAAAAACAGATTTTATATTTCAACAGAACAAAACAATCTTTGTTACTTTTGTCAATTCTGGATAATCGGGGTTGAAATTGAACATAGTGAAACCTTGAGAAGCTGGCTAAAAACA